TTTAGTCTTCCTATGATATTATGCAGCCTAAGAATGTTTGTTTACTAATGAAACTATCCTTCAATGTGATTTGCTTCTTAGCTTAGCCCTGAGGGAGGCTAGTGATATCTTTCTCGACGAAAAGTTTTGAAATCCACATAAAGCTATCGGGTGTTGATGACTGATTCATAATTTTTTCAATTTGCTAGATCTGTACTTTCTCTGATCAAAACCTACGAAACATCAATCAAAATACTTCAAATTGCCCTTCTGAGATAATTTTCAAACTTCATGAATTATTGATCTCCTCCTTTCCATGTTTGCCATTATTCAACCCCGAGTCGTTTGTAAACACTACTTAATTCAGTTGAAAATGAGCTGTATTTTTCTTCTGCAGTTTTTACTGGTGTTTTATCTGATTTTTCTTATGATTGCAATACTTTAAGTAACATTTTTGTCTGCCAGATTCTTTTGAAGAAATTTTAGAACATAAACTTAATGCTTTATCTGCATAATATTGTTCAGCTATGTCATTTTTCTTTATATTGATATATTTTCGATTTGTATTAGATTAAGGGTATAAACTCATACTGGTAGCACTTTTCCGATGAAAACACCTCATTATACGAAGTAATCTAAGTTCACGTTGAGTCCATTTATTCTGAAATGTGACACTTGCTACTGAAAGTCGTCCTATAATGAAATATGAATTGATTTTCCAAAGTTCTTCAGGCAAGAATAAACTCCCAAAAGTTAATACTCTTCCTGTTTCTATTTCAATGAGCTACTATGTTCGTAAAATAAGAAAATTCCTCTGCATAGCAAACACTTAAGAGTAAGTGCCTGAGAAAATCAGTCACTATAGGACATCGACGATGGAGTAACATTTCAGAATTCGCTGATTTTTTTATATGTTATAGAGAGTAGTGAATTTAGTATTTTCTGAAATTTTCAGCTCGATCGAATCACCTTTTCCAATACAAACAATCGAAATACTAACGGAATTTTTAATAATTTGTAATATTGATGTTAAACCGATGTTGAGGTAGTGTTTTTCAGTAAAAGTTACTTTTGTATTTCAATATCTAAGAATTTTGGGTTCTCGTTTTTCTAACTATAACTATTGAGTTATTCTTCTTCTAAGTACGAAAATTCATAAGTTTTCGTCAATCCCATAAAAACTTCTGAAATACCCTCAAAAAAATCTATTTTGTCGTTTTTTCACCAAAATGTTGGTCAGTCGCATTTTATGCGGCAACAATCAATCGCTCTGATATTTCTACTCGTGATAGAGCACATCAAATTCTCCCACCTAGGCTATCTCACGATTTTGGCCCTTGAGAAAAGTAAAGCACTTTTGATTAAAAGTCAATTTTTTCTGCAATCCATGTTATATACGCAATTTAGGGTTTTTTTTTCGTGGCTAAATCCGGTAATATCAAATAGTAAACTCTTTAGATTTGAATAAAATGTAACTCTTTAAGTGGCTTGTACTATTTTTGATTATTTATTGATATAAATAACAAGAAAATCTAATAAATTTTAGTTTAGCAATTTATTATCATATATTTAGAAATGAATGACTCTTGATTTTTCACCTTTATTTGAGTAGTATGAGAATATTTCATATATCTATAATTAGATATGTTTATAAATGAATGTGTTTCAAGATTTTTATCTATACTTCATCATTCAAGACGTAGATTATATATTATATATATGCAATAGTCAGAATGATAATGAAATTTAGAATAGCGTAGACTTCAACTGTTCAAGAAATTTGTAGGAAAATATTCAAGAATCATAAAAAGCAACTTTTCACAAATTTTTGATTTTAATTTTCTTAGAATTCTTTTTTCGAGGAATCAGGTAAAGTTTGTAATATTGCACCCTTTTTGATAAAAGAAATATTCTCAGAGGATTGTGGCAGAAGAACAGAAAGACGCTGTTTTGATCCTTTTCACATTTATTTCAATGAAGGAAGCTTCTACAGTGAACATAGAATAGAACTATATAGATAACACACAAAAAATAGTATATAACATTGATTGCAGAAAAAATTGACTTTTAATCAAAAGTGCTTTACTTTTCTCAAGGGCCAAAATCGTGAGATAGCCTAGGTGGGAGAATTTGATGTGCTCTATCACGAGTAGAAATATCAGAGCGATTGATTGTTGCCGCATAAAATGCGACTGACCAACATTTTGGTGAAAAAACGACAAAATAGATTTTTTTGAGGGTATTTCAGAAGTTCTTATGGGATTGACGAAAACTTATGAATTTTCGTACTTAGAAGAAGAATACCTCAATAGTTATAGTTAGAAAAATGAGAACTCAAAATTCTTAGATATTGAAATACAAAAGTAACTTTTACTAAAAAACACTACCTCAAAATCGGTTTAAAATCAATATTAAAAATTATTAAAAATTCCGTTAGTATTTCGATTGTTTGTATTGGAAAAGGTGATTCGATGGAGCTGAAAATTTCAGAAAATACTAAATTCACTACTCTCTATAACATGTAAAAAAATCAGCGAATTCTGAAATGTCACTCCATCGTCGATATCTGATTTTCTCAGACACTAACTCTTAAAGATTCTGTTAGATGCCCATAGTAGACATCTTTAACTAGTTTCATCTTAACTGAATCCATAGGCTTATTTAACTTTCAATAACGCTTCATACTTCAATGTATTTTCTTATTATTATGATATTCTCGTAAAAAACAGTAGATAGGTCGTCATAGGTAGGCTAGAGCCACAGAAAGACAGTTTGTTTGGGTCTCTCACTTATAAACTGTTGAAGTCAGCAGTGTCACACATCCCAGAATCAATCAAGAGATGCATCCTCAGTCACATTTTCCATAGAACATGTTGATTTTCCTCCCAGACATTGTCATCTTTTGAGCGGAATGTGCATCTCTCAAGCAGATACTACATTCCCAGTCTTCCACGCCACCATCTTCATGGGATGATATAGGTTCCTTTTCAAATTTCTGAATATGAGAAATTAGTGCAACACCAGTTTGGTATTCAGTATGGATGACATTGGCTATGGAACTTGCTTCTTCAAGATTATATAGGCATTTGGCGCAGTTTTCTAAGTTGATTACGCGCAACTTATTTGAATTTATTTAGTAATAAATCATTTACTTTTACTAAAGGAAATAGTAAATAATTTATTTACTTTACTTATTTACTTTTTGAAAAAGGAAAGTAAATGTACCACCACTATTGAGGACCTATGAGTACTTTCATAAAATAGTCCTTGAGAACCTATGAGTACCTTCATAAGATAGGCCTTGAGAACATCTGGGTATCTTCATAGGTTGGCTTCTATAAATTTATGAGTATGAATTAAGAGTTGCAGTAATTAGGCTGAATATTACTTAATGTAAGTACCAATTAATGTGAGTACTAATTAGGGTGAGTACTAATCTAGGATGCAAAAGTAATTGCCGAAATCTCCAGGCATGGTTCTCCGCTCAAGAACATTGTGGAAAGATCATTCTTTTTTCAATTGAAAGAGCAAAGTCTAAACTACAAAATGCATACAGAACAAAATTATTTGGGATTAACTTTGAGGGAGAAAAAAATTCCATATCAAACATAACTTAAAAAGCTCTTGCAACTTACTGTTCTATTCAAACGTACCTCGCATATCAAAGCTACTTTTCGTTAACACAGCATGGGTTTCAAATTATATAATTACAGTAACTAGAAGTACTTTTGTCACTCTTTCAAATGGAATATAATATATAATTTTTTGATTCACTTTTCGACTTGAATTTCACAACTTTTTTATTAGTTTCAAAAAAATTGGTCATTAGAAAAAATCAATGATTTTCAGGTCCTGGGCGAAAATCCCTCCTTTTTCTACAACACATTTTCTTAAACAGCGTACAATTTTCTACAAATTAAAATTATTTTTAATCTTTATTAGCATGTTTAGAGTTGTTAATAGTAAACTTTGCTCAATGTCCCGTTTTTCTCATGCAAAGTTTTGCTTTATATCAAAACTAAGACATATAATGGGCGTTATTTCCTGTTAAAGGATTACTGAGAAACTTTCTGAAGTAGGGAAATCGATAGAGCTTTGCACGGACTACTTTCTCATTAATTTAACGTTCACAAAAAGGTTTTGTTTCAAGTTCTAGTAAAAATATTAAGACAATTTTGTGTTGCAAGAGTTTTTTAGAGACGTTCGATCTGGTACTTGTTTCTCACTCAAAGTTAACTCCAAATAATTTTGTTTTGTATGCATTTTGAACTTTAGACTTTGCTCTTTCGATTGAAAAAAGAATGATCTTTCTATAATGTTCTTGAGCAGAGGACCATGCCTGGAGATTTCGGCAATTAATTTTGCATCGTAGGTTAATTAGCGTGAGTAATAATTAATATGAGTAATAATTAATATGAATACAGTTTTAGAAATTGTTATTGATTTTAACAGTCGTATGTTGTCTTTGTATGCATTTCGGAAAACATGCATGCGTAAGTAAGCTCCAAATTTGGAGTTTACGGGTCCAGTTTATTTTTTTTGACCAGTTTCGAGAATATATTTTAGAAAGATAATGAATGGTCAATAAGTATTTATTGGTAAAAACTAAAGCGACTTAGGCTTGGTGGTATTTTCATTTCTGTTAGTCAAGTGTAAAATTATTTTTGTTCCAATAGATTATATTTGCATTTGAGTTATTATTATAAATAATTTTATTTGATTCGATGATAAAACTGAAATCAAAATGGGACTATTTATCCTTTTTCTTTTTTCTATGTTCATCTTTTAAATTAATTCAGGCAACTGGCTCATTGTCAAGTGGAGTGGATCTTCAGGACATCCACCAGCAAGCATCGAAGCAAAATAAAAAGAATCAGTAAATAATTGTTTTACATTTTTTCTTATTAAGCTTTAAAAATCGTTCACTTAGGTATTATAAACGCATTCGTTGCCAATATTCACCTGTCTGTTTATTTCTATCTGTACTTGCTATTCTTCTTCTAAGCGTGGGCATTGCTGCAATGCTTGTCGCCTTGATCGGCATCTCTACAACGACAATAACAGCAACAACAACAGCGACGACAACAACAGCAACAACAGCAACAACAGCAACAACAACATCAGCAACAACAACAACATCAGCAACAACAACAACATCAGTAACAACAACAACATCAGTAACAACAACAACATCCGCAACAACAACAACAACAGCAACAACAACAACAACAACAACAGCAACAACAACAACATCCGCAACAACAACAACGGCAACAACAACAACAACAACGTCCGGTAAGACCTCTCTAATGATATATCGTGCAATTGAACTTTTCGAATAACTTTAGACAATAAAATTGATAATTTTAATTTTGAGAGATAATGGTTGACGCCCTAATAGAAAATAATGTGGTTTCAATTCTAAAGACTATATTTTTTGAATAAAATATCAAAATCGAGTTTCTGTTGTTGAAGGATGTTGTAAAGTTTCTTCTTCTAGTATATGACTTGAATTTTAGGAAGCATTAAGGTCTTAGTTATTCTCATTCATTATTTTTGTTGCAGCTGTCTAGTTGACTTGAAGGTTTTCAGAAGTTTTCTCATAGCCCTCCCTAGTCTTAGAAATATCATAGAAAATCAATAATATCGTGGCATCCAGCATGTCCATCGACACTTCCATTGATACATACCTTTATGAAGGACAATCTTCTCATTTGCCTATGTAACAGTCGAAAATTCTACACTTTCCAGTATGTAGAATTCTCTTTGTTCTGCGTATAGTGTATAGCAACAGTTTCGCACCTGTAGGCAGATTTGATTGTAATTTATTTGTAAGAAAGTGGTTCATCTACGAAATGTTATTTTCAAAATGTTTTATCTCAAATATTTACTGTTTTTTACTTATAATTGATAAATACATTCATAGTACTTTTGATAGAGTTATGAAATTTTACATTTTAGCTCTTATTGATTTTGATAACTGATTCTATTAGTTGCATAAATTCAAGATGGAATCAAACAGCTACGAAATTGTGATTTTTACTGTTTCAGATGATGCTCCCATTGCATCTGTCTGTAATCGGCAGTTGCTCCTGTAAGAGTTCCTATTCCTATGCCTATTACATTTGAGATATCAGCGCGTGTTCAATGAGGATTTGTAAGATTGCTTTAGACAAACAATACAAGGATATATCTTGTCGTTTCAACTGTTGATACTAGCAGAGGATGATGCTAATAGTAATAATAATATCATTAGATGTCTATAGCAAATATTGATAATAGACTATTATATTGCTTAAACTGTTGGTGACGAAGTTTGTAAATTTACAGTTTCTAAATTTAGTTAGAGAAAAATGTCTTAAATCAAACTGAACAACAATTTTTTTTATATGGGTTGTCTTTCTAAATGTGTCGCCAATACCAATTTCATGCTCTATTCTGTACACAATACGCTAGGTTCCAAGTAAGCTACGCATGGTGATAGACTCATTTCTTCTCATATATGTCAAATAGCAGACAGAAAAGCGGTAAGGAAATCCTACTATCTATACTCATCTAAATAGAAAGTAAAAAAATGGGAAATGGGTTCCTGGACTACTTCGATGAATTTCAGACTTTGTGTAGTTGTTTTGTTTTTGCTATTCTAAAAAAAATCAGATATATCTTCCAACCAAAATTCTATGGAACACTTCTGATCTTAAATTGTATTCAAAGAAATATAAATTTTGAAAATGAAATTTTCTACGAAAGCCTTCGCCATGAAAAGACTATTATACATATATACATATATATTGTTCTTTTTTTTTATTCATATAAATTAAAAGTTACCACGACTACTACACATTTGCTCTTGAGTATCACACAACCAGGTGATTCAATTTTTGGCATTTGCCATACCATAGCAGGTGGATCTACCGGTGGATTCAATGTGAGTTATCCAACCACTGAAAACCCACCAAATGCTATTGATGGTTCATTAAGTAGCAAATATCTAAATTTTGGAGATTCATCATCCGGTTGTTCTGGTTCAAGTTCTCCCGGAATAAATACTGGGTTTTATGTGACACCTACGATAAGTAGTTCATCTGTTGCCGTTGGGCTTCTTTTTGCAACTGCAGCAGATACTCCTAATCGTGATCCAATAACAGTGACTCTTGAAGGAACAAATGCGACAGGTACGGCAGCTCTCAATTCGGGATCAAGTTGGACATTGATTTATAGTGGTTCAACAGGCATCAGTTCATCAACTGATCCTGGTCGTCAAACATACGTGTCTCAACAAAGTTTCTCGAATACAATTGCTTTTCAAAGTTATCGACTCCTAATTACTTCAAAACGTGGTACTGAAAATTCAGTTCAATATGCTGAAGCTCATATCATTGGATACATATAATACTCTAGAATTTTAGATATTCATATTATTTGTATAAAGCAAAACTCTTCTTTATTCTATAATCGATATATAAAAATGACAGTTTTTATTGTGTTTCATGCAAAATATTAAAATCCGCCAATGATATTAAATGACACAGTTCGATTAGAAGAAAATCAGTTCTATTTTGTTGAGTCATTTTATTTGCCGGGCTTAATTTCCGTACAGTCACCTGGACGAAATCTTTTTTTAACGCAAATGTTCTGTACACAACAAAGATTAGTACCAAATTTAAATGGAATGGCGTGGGTGTGATTTAGAATAAGGGTGGGTTTAGAAACTCAACTTAATTTAGATACACGAGCAATACTTACGACCAGTTTCGACCTTGCTCAAGGGTCATCGTCAGGTAAGTTTGGTATCAAAATATGACTGTATATCGATCGAGTTCGAGAAAAAAATAAGGAAGTTCTATAAGAGTATGCGACCAAGAAGTTCAAAACTCTCAACAAACTAGCCAACAATTTTTTCGAACAAGATCATAAATATTTCGAGTTTGACTTTAAGATGAACATAAAGTCAAAGAGGAAATATTGGAGGGTGTGGGTGTGAATGATTTAAATAAAATAAAATCAATCATAATAGCTGGTAAGACACGTGTTTCGATAAGTGCTAAATATACTTATCAATTACTTATTATTATTAAGATTTTTAGATTGAAAGCACCACACGACTAGTTTCGTCCTTGCTTAAGGGACTCTACGGGCATGTTGACAACCTATTAGTACATATATCTAGAACTCTCCAATTTGAAAAAGTTAAAGATAAAATTATACTAATATCCAAATAACAATATTAAATTATTATTAAGAAGTTTTAAAGTGTTAATAAATATATAGTTGAAATTCCAAGCATCACACGACGCGTTTCGACTGCTGCTTACACAGTCTTCATCAGGTATGTTTAGAATTTCATACTTACATACAAGTCAGAACTAACCCAAATTCATGAGGAAGTTTAAGACATAAACGTAATTAAATAACAACTTTAGATTTAAAGTATTAATTGACATATAGTTGAATTGCAAAGGATCACATGTAGTGTTTCGACCTTGCTGGATGATGTAGAAGTTTGAACAGAACTATATAGTATTTTGATTTTTCTCTATACTCTAAGCAAGTGGTACGTTGTTGTTTAAATTGATCGAAGTCGAAAACGCAGGATGTGTTTTATATTTAAGAGAGCCTACGACTATTGCCTCGACCTTTCCCCAGAGTTATTCATCGAGTAGTTTTGGCACTGTATACATCTGAAATGAAACTAAAGACAAGGTGACTATTAGTACCAAGTCGATAAATTGAATTCTCTTGTTATATATCACATGAAACGAAAGGCGATACTTCTTTATTTCTGTGAATGAAAAGGAGAAACTAGAATAAGTACTGTCCTGCTTGGTTGAGTGCAATTGAATCACACTAAATTAGTCGAAGTTCGATGTTCATAATATTCTATTATCATGGAAAGAGAAATGGCATGAAAAACATTGTCGCAGTTTCTTTTAAAATATATTAGGATTGAGAAAACAAGTTTTACTCTTTTCTAGATCTCAACCTTGATCTAGTATTCCGGTAAATGACCCGGATATGATCCAGATTATGAAAAAAGAAGCTATTCGTATCATCTTCACAATGTTGTAGTTGATTTTACATATGCTAAAAAATGAATGTTGAAAAAATATTCACCAACAGTGGTGATGTGGGATATCGGAACGTGTTTTGACTCCGCTTTGAGTCTCCTCGTCTCACTCGTACTGCAAACGATTGTAGGGTAGTTCCACCAGAAATCTCCCACCATTACGGTGACCTTCTCCGGCCAAGCTGCAACTTTCAGTAATTAAAGATCACAATACCCTAAGACTATTGATAAAAAAATCCTAAGGATTTTCTCTTCGCATCATGGTTTTTTGGGAACCACAAAATACAATCTTTTGTCTATAAAGACGATTTTCATCATTTTTCATCATTTAGAAGTATTGACTTTTCTCTGTAAACAGAACGAATGACTGAAAATTTTTATATACTTGTATAGTACTAAGTAAGTAGATTATGTGCATAACTATATCAGCTCATTCATATTACTCATATATAGATTTAGCCAATGCGAGATTATGTAAAAAATGCAAAAATAGCGAAAATAGCCTATTTTCGGGTGTACTGTTCAACATCACAGTACGATGATTAGCGATTGATTATAGTACCGGTAAATACATATGGGTGTGGGTGTGGGTGTGGGTGTAGGTGTGGGTGTGGTGGGTATGGGTGTGTGGATGTGGGTGTAG